CAGTTAATAATACCACTTCTGGCTCCACTGCAAGAAATCGATGTTCCATTATTTGCTGTGCAGTGTACCTTTTATATAAGCAGTAATATTTGTGATATAAATTTTAAATTTTTAATATCAATAAGTATAGTATTGAATTTAGAATACATGTTAATAAAAAAAAAAAAAACAAGTAAATCAGTTAAAATACATTTATATAATTCTTTTATAATTTTTTTTTATATTCATATTGAATGCAAAATGCACATCAATAAAAAAAAATATTAAATAGAATTAATTGAATAAATTAATCAATTAAATTTATAATATTTTCATAATTTTTTTATATATAATAAATAAATTCAAATTATAACAAGATAAATCTTTTACTAAAACTGAATTAACCAATTAGAAGTAGTAGTTTCAGCTCTAGCCAAATTTTAAGATCAACCACCGATGTTTTAAAATATATATATATATATTTTTTTAAGTAATTCTGCCTTTATTCATATGCTATATAATTTATATATACTCATGTATTAAAATTCTTATAATTTATTGTTTTAATCTAATAAAGACTCACTAGATTAAACCCAATACAACCTGCCATACCAACTGTTTACCTCCCTTGGGATCCTTAACTTGCTAAGGATTTCATACTATCTCTGATACCCCTCTTGGTTCATAAGTTGGCCATTGTATGTCTTGTCAGGATTACCTAACCTTCAAGATCTTCTTCTACCAAAATCTAGGTAGAATATCTATCTCCTACTTTTCTCTAAACAAGGATTATATATACTACTTTTACCAAAGAACAACTATATCTAGAAGAAATAAAAGAATCTAAAATAACTAAAACACTATTCTAAATATATTTTCATTGTAAATAAACAAAGATGAAAAAGGACAAGAAAGTCTGATAACCCTGACAAGAAAAACTATATACTAAAAAGCACTATTATAACTTGTATCAGGTAAATAAAAATTATATAACAATAGCAACATTGCATATCTCTATTATAAAGCTTTGTCTTAATCTTTATGCTTTTCTCTCTGAACTATATTAATATTAGAAGTTTTGGCCAAGCCTTCTAATCTGTATCTTAAGCCAAGTGCTGCTGCCATCCGAGGACCCATATCTCAAGCCACTTGTTACCATCATTAGAAGCATTTTAATCATTAGCTCTAGACCAAACTAGTAACACTATATCTGAATTAGGCCAAACATATAGTTGATATCTACTATGTTGACCAAAAAAAGAAACTAGTAAACAATGTCGATCTTTGGATAAGAGTAAGCTGTTTTGCTTACTTTTCTTCAAAAATTTTGTTGCTAGGACAAGAGGGTGAGTAGAAAGAAAAATTTATCCAAAGTAGTGAATAACTAAGCAAATGGCAATTACTTGTCATGAACTGTTTTTTCCAAATGAACTTTTCTTTTCAATGAGTGATAAACTCTGAGCCTGTCAGCAAGTAGTGTATAAGAACTACTTCTAAATGACAAGTACCATTCTAGCAGTAAGTGATAAACTCTAACCTGTCAGCAGATAGTATATAAGAACTACCTCTAAATGACAGGTGCTAACTTATAGCTTCGTTCTGACTCTAGGTGCTTTCTATGACCTCTTCACTGTGTTTTGAGTTCAAAAAATTTTCCGAAAAATTTTGGTATAAGAAATTATTGGAAAGTTGTATTAATTGTGTTAAACCATTTTTTAAAACAATAAAAAATATATAAAAACTGTTTAAAATATTTTTTTTATCATCCCTAGGTGAGTCAGTAGAGATGCACCAGAATTTATTTAAAAAAATTTTTACTAAATTTGGATAAGTTTTTGCTAAATTATTTTTGTTTGGAGATTCAAAAAAATTTCATTAAAAAAAATATAGTGCATTTCTACTGACTCACCCCCATATATATATACAGTCAACTCTGGATATAATAAACCTTTTTATAACGAACTCTGGATATAACAAACACAAATTTTCTAAATTTTAATATTAGTTCGGTATAACAACTTAAAAAAACATAGTAATTCTATATAATGAACTTTTTTTTGATCAGAACCAAGGGTTTAGTATAAAAAGAGTCGACTGTATATAATATATATATATATATATATATATATATATAGTACGTATATAAATCTATATAAACATAAAATATCTATATATATAGAATAGAATTAAACATACAAAGTTAATTTTATACGTATACATAAATATATACTGTAGGTTTTGAAAAATATGTAAATGTGTATATATTTCTAGAACAAATACAGTTTTTATGGCAAATTCCAATAAAAGAAAAAAACAAAGCGAAAAAATGCCTATTATACTATTCAACATGCATGTTTAGTAGAAATTTTTATGCTATCATGTATTGCAAATATTAATTACATAAAAATTTTCGTGTAATTAATTTAAGGACAGTTATTCCAGTTATTCTACAGACCTGGTGCAAATTAAGGAAGATACGTAATCAAGTGACACTTACCAAACGCCTGACCTGCCAAACTTAGACTATAACGACTACGATCGGAATTTTGCCATATAACTGTTATTGTCTCTTGATAGAATTTGCCAGAGGAATAATTATATGGCGGATCATCATCCCGAAAAAAATGGGCATTCTTCTCCTCAAGAAGAATATTCACAATATCTTAACGGAGCTTCTGGTACAACTACCCTCGCAGAATATGAATTGAACTACCCAAGAGCACAAGGGATTTATCAGGAGTTACACTCTCACGATTATTCAAATGGTCGCGAAATAGTAATTGAAGAAAGTCCGAGTGGCAGATATGCCAAAGTAAATAGTTGATTCTTTTAAAAAAAAAAACCCTGTTTAAAAGGCGTACAGAGAATTGTGTGTAGCATGGTCAAAGTACTTATCAGAGCTACTAAATTCTTTATCTTTGTTTTTACATTAAGCTAAACACAGTTTTAGGTAAAGGTGCTTATAAAGTAGTTTATAAAGCTATTGATCGTGACGAAGGTTACGAAGTCGCGTGGAACTGTTTTCAGGCAAGGACGCGCTTTTACAATCAATGCGCGTTCTTATTTTAATAACATACATTTACTTATTTTCAATTTCTAACTTTAGACAACGAAAGCAGAGTTTAATGACTTAAGTTTGGAAATAAAAATTTTAAAGCAGGTTCGCCATCCAAATATTATCAACTTCCATGATTGTTGGTACAAGGATGCCGAATTCATTTTCGTCACAGAATTGATGACTTCTGGAACTTTGCGAGAGTGAGTTTATCATATTTTATTTCACTGTAAAAGTTTTCACAATAAGTTAATGCAATTAATTATAACATAAATACATTTTCACCATACTTATTTTTTCTAGGTACATTCGAAAACTCTCGTTGCCGAATATGAAGATAGTGAAACGATGGTCCCGCCAAATTCTTAAGGGCCTTATATACCTTCATTCTCATAATCCACCAATAATTCATCGCGATATCAAATGTGACAATATCTTCATCAATGGCGCGCATGGAGAAGTGAAAATTGGTGACATGGGAACGGCCAAGATGAAGTTGGGAAAAAAGTATACCGTCATCGGTATGCAGTAGTAACAATCCCAGCTGGGTTTGCTATCGTGGTTTTAAACATTGGTGCCCGATACCTCATCAATCGGCATTCTAAATGAATATTTGCGAATTATTTATTCGCAAATTATAAAATGTAGGAACTCCTGAGTTCATGGCGCCCGAAATGTACGAAGAAAAAGGGTATAGCGAAAAGGTCGATATCTATGCGTTTGGCATGTGCCTTCTCGAAATGGTTACCGGCGAATATCCATATATTGAATGCGAGAATGCTCCTCAAGTATATAAAAAAGTCACTTCGGTAACTATTTTTTTATAATATTTCTTCATTTATTATTATTATTATTATTATAAAAAGTTTCTGATATATCCAACTTTGTAACGATATTTCTACATTCTATTGATTTTTTTTATAGGGCATAAAGCCGGAGAGTCTAAAAAAGGTTCAAGATCCAGATATTCTAGATTTAATAATGCATTGTCTGGATCCCGAAAACGAAAGGTTGTAATATTTTGATAAAAGTACCTTCAAATTTTTACATACTGAGTAACCAAGCATATGATTGACAATAGTCATTTATTTTAATATAAAAGGTACACTGCACAGCAAATAATGGAACATCGATTTCTTGCAGTGGAGCCAGAAGTGGTATTATTAACTG